TCGGAGCACACCCTCTGCATAGCTGGAGTGGCCACCAACACCCGCTATGTATACCCTTTTGTTCAGATTAAATATTAAAAACCATAGGATGTAACCCCTTCAGTTTGACTGGAAATGTGTACTCACCAGAAGTGTCTTCCCCAGCATCATACTCTGCTGCCAACTGCTCCTGCGAAGGGTTGGGCTTAATTTTTGGTTGTTGACTTGATTTTCCTGACTAATCTACTCAGGTTTCATTGGAGAAACCCCAAGGAACTCTCTGCTCCTGGGATTTGTGCAGCCCTGATGTCCATGCTACTGTTGCTTGCTTTTCTTTCTTTTTAAATTTTTTTTTGTAAATAAGGTAGCTGCTGTGGTGGTGTACTGGCACTACAGTACCACAGAGATGAGACTAAATATGACTTGCTCGATGAATGGAACAAGTTTGGTGAATCTCCGCTTCGTCCCTAGAGATTTCTTTTTCCATAATTCAAAACAAACAAAAAAATGAGATAAACTTGTCTGCTTCTGCTGAGGAAGGGGCTGCTGCAGTACAGGCTGGGTTAAAGTATATAAGCAAAGCTCTGTAAAGAGTCCAGCACTTCAGTAGCAGGAGTGGTGCAGATCAGGAGTGAGCTTCATGGGCAGAGTTGCACATGAGAAGGGGGATTTCCATGACTGGAATAACAAAGGTCAGAAATAAGGTGCTCTGTTTAGCAGAGCTGCTCCAGAAGAGGCTAAAATCCCTGTTCTCACAAGCTGTTGTTCCAGCTACTGTTCTCCTAGGACAGGAGTGAGCAAATACCAGCCAATGGATCGGATCTGGTCCACCGGGGTTAGCTCCTGGCAGGCCTCCACTGCTATATTTACCTTTATGGCTGCAGGGACTGGTGATTGCAGCGCCTGTTGGCTGTGGATTGCTGTTCCTGGCCAATGGGAGTTGCGGGATGCAGTGTTCTGATCTGCACTACTTTCTGCCTCTCCCATTGGCTAGGAATGAGATCTGCAGCCACCAGGAGCTGAAATAACAGATACTTGCAGCAATGCAGGTAAATATAGAGGCAGCGGCCCAGTAGGGGCTAACCCTGGCAAACCGCCATCATGTTACTGCCCATCCCTGCCCTAGGATCTTTTCAGGTAAAGAACCTTTTTGTGCAGTATTTTATTCCATGTCACCATTACTGGGACTCTATGTAACCACTGCCTGCTGCCTTCCCCCTTCTCTAGTAAGATCTTTGGCACTGACTAAGCAGTGCACATGGTGCACATTTGTCTCTTCCAGCTCAAAAGTACCATAGGCAGTCATATTTGGAGGTGAACTGGGAAAACTTTTTATCAGACTCATATGGACAGACTGATCTGGGTAAAATAATAACCCTGCCCTTTGCCATGTTCCTCACCCTACAATTCAAAAGAGCTTTCAAGTTTGAAAAAGTTCACAATTTCTCCTTTGCCCCCTTATTTTTTACTTGCCACACATCCTGAGTCCAGTGGTAGTGAAATTGCCAAAATAGAGGCTAGCAGTTGAGGGCTTAATCAAAACCTCTTCTGAATACACAGCAATGATCAAAGATGCTTTAAAAAACATAGGACAGAAAAGGAATGATAGAAAATAGTCTTGAGAAAGTGTTAATCACATTATATAAAACAATGGAACACATTCACCTGGAACACTTTCTTCAGTTCTGGCCACCCCATCTGACAAAAAGATATAGCAAAAATAGATTAGATTCAGAGATGGAAAACCAGTATGAGGAGAAGCCTGAAAAGATTTCCATGTGAGGAAAGATTGACAGGAATATAAATATTTAGTTTAGAGAGGAGATGGATAGCAAGGGATATGATAAGGGTATGGAGAATCATGAATGGTCTCAAGAAGGTAAATCAGGTGCTTCTCTTTATCCTTTCATCATATAGGAACAAAGCGATAGTAAGTAAAATTATAAAATCACAAATTTAAAGTTGATCAAAGACTTTGTTTAAACACACCACATAATTAACCCGTTCAACTTATAACCACCTGATGCTATTCTGGCCAAAAGCTTAGCACGATTCCAAAAGGATTATCCAGAAATGTTTAATGAGAATATCCATCATCATATTAGATAGGGGGAGCTTTTTAGAAGGAATATAAACTCTTTTTCTTCAGGGCATAAACAAAATACTAACTGTTTAGGATTAGGAATACATTTCCTTTAATTAGTGTATGAGGGTTCTTATATCTTTCTCTGACGTATCTAGAATTGCCATGGTCAGAGACAGGATACTGGATATATCCTGATCCTCAAAGGTTAGGCCTGTTTCGATCCTGATAATTGGTATGGACCCATCTCTGCCTCCTTCCATCTCTAATTCAAGAGTAACTCATGGAAACTAACATTAAGTTTGCTTGAAACCTTCCCTATTCAAGCCAGGGGAGCTTCTGAGAACAGCACATGAATTACCTGGATTTAAAATTCAGAAGAAATGGATGGAAAATCTTTTCAAATAGGGACAGAATGATTTCGCTACTTTTTTATGCTCTGAACCGACCAGCAAGAACCGTTAATGGGGATGGAGCTTGCATTGTGCTTCTGCAATCGGCTTCAAAGATCACCAGAGATAAACGCCATTCATTGTGATCCAGTTCTGTAAGAACTACTGTGTGAAGGAATGGGAAAAAGAAAAGTGAGCTTTACATGAGATAGGGACCCCAGGCCCTAGCAGTGCTATATAAATAGGAACGATAAGGAAAAGGAATGGGCCACCTGCTTCTGCTGAATTGCCTATGTGAAAAATTAAAGAAAACAACCTTGCTGCCTATGATAAGATCAAGACCGGCAGCTTGCAGAGCCAAGACAATGTTAGTGGGATTTAGAGAAAATTAAAAAATAGATTTTGAATTGTGCCTTCATTTAGAGTTTGTTTAAAAAATAAAATGAAATCCAGCAATGAGAAATTTCAACTCAAGTAAGAGTGGCTGCAGGAGCATTGAATTTTTAGGGCCAGCTGTTAAGTTTTTACTTAGAATCGGCCTTGCTCCAACCACTTGGCATCAAGTGAAGAATGATTTTGAGAAGGGTTGGGAACTTGATTCAGATGTTGCTGCCTCTGAACTTTAAGCCAGGAATTGATGTTGGAAATCTCCAGATGAGGATTTCAAAGGAGAGAGCTGCAAATGTGTGTGTATGGGGGTGAGGACACCACATTATGGAAATTCAAGCCTTCTTCCCTTTCCCAGTGGGGAGCTTGGCTTCTCATTTGGGTGATTCTCTTGGACAGCAGAGCTCCTCAGCATACTCTTACTCCTCTAGCCTGGACTGCCTCGTACATTTTGCAAAGTACAAATGGTTGGTGGCCGTGACTGAGTGAGACCATAGTGTGAGTGGATGTGGGTGGGTGGGAGAGACAGATGGCTTAAATAAAAAAGAGGGATTTGCAGACATGTGATAGAAGCAAATATGGGAAGGGAGGTAGAGAGAACCCAGTGTATGGAAAGGAAAGCAAGAAGGATAAACGAAGTGTTGGGAGAGAGAGAGAGAGAGAAGAAACAGGACACTGAGGACAATACAGGAAAATGTACAACACAATCTATTATAGGAAAGAAAAGGAATGAAACAAGGAAGGGAAAGAAGGAAAAAGCAAATGTTACAACTGAATAGAGTACCAAATGATATAATCTTTAGATTACAGTGATTGTGGGTTTCAACAGTGGGACTTGCTACAAATATACTTCATCCTGTCTAGTAGGTGCTGATCTTGAACTAGGAGGTTTGGGGTATAATTTCAAACCTGGCTTTGTGGTTATATTAAGAACAAGTGGTCAGGACTCCTGGGTTCTATTCCTGCTTTTGTAAGGGCATGTAATCCAATGACTGGATCACAGACTTCAGAAGCCACAGTCCTTTCTACAGTTGGGGCAGCTGTGATATAGAAATGACAGGAGCAAAATTGTCAAAAGTAGCTATTAATTTTGTGTGTCTCCATTTTGGGGAAACCAATGGAACCTCATTTTCACAAGTGCTAAGCACGCACAATTCCAGCTTTAGTCAGTATCCAGCACCTTTTAAAATTAGACCCAATGTTCCTCAAATGGGACTGTGACAGGATGTACCAGACCCTCTGAGGTCCTATTCTGGATGCCCTAGGAAAGGTTCTATATGACCTAGGACAGGGCAGTGGTGAGAGTCTTACAAGTTGCCTAGAATGGCTGTGTCCTCAATCAGGAATGAGCAGCCTAGCATAAGAAGAGCTGCAGGGTTCAGTTGCTTACTGGAGCTAGAGGAGTGTGGCTGGCAGAGGGAGCTGCAGGACTTTGGATAGCACAGCACTGCCAGAGGCTGAAGAGAACAGTCTGGCACCTGAGGCAGCCACCTCATTTCTCCTTATGGTAAGGCCAGCCCTGCTGAAACCTTTAGTGGTCTTTCAGGAGGAGTCTGAAATGTCCAGAGAGGGCGAAGACATTGTCACCAGGAGGAAGCCCTGCAATATGGCTCATTTCCAGGGCTAAGACAGTTAACAGACTTCAAGAATAATTAAGTCCATGCAGGGTTACGGGGAGAGAAAGTGCAGGCCCAAGCACATTGGATCAGGGGGGAACTTTTGAGAGGTGAGTATACTCCATTGTACAGGGCTTTGTAAAAATGAATGTCCAGTTTTGAAAATGTTGACCCTAGTGTCTCACAGTCATACAGTGAGGCAGGGACAGAGTCTGGAGTGAAACCTAGGAGCACTGATTGCCAGTCCCCAGCCATGACTACTAAATCAGCACAAAACTCATTGGGTATCATAATACATTGATCCTGTCCAGAAAGGCAATATTTTACGAAGTTGGCAGCCTTACACTCCTCCCATGTTATTAAAGTCATGCTGTGTTTTTTCCCAGAAGGCGTTCCCAACGGAGCTGGGGATCATGGCAAAGTCTGGTGTGATGTTTCTTTGAGCATATTTGCTTTACTCCCTTGATTTTTTTGCTGTCTTTGGAGATGGAGGAGGGGTGCAATTATTTCTGCTGAGACATATTTTATATTAAGCAAGATATGTAAAGACTGTAAGACTGTCTCTTTCCGACTGTCACCCCCTCCCCCTGATAGCTTGGCCATTCTGAGAACAAAGAAGGAAATCATAGTGGGGGTGAGGAAAATGGTCATGTTCCACTTTAAAAAATAGATATTTAATTTCTGGTTACTTTGAAGATTCTAGTTGCCATAACAACTTGCTGTGATTCTTCATGGCACATTTTGTTCACATGGTTTTAAGAACTTTATGGGCTCTGACCAGAAAATGCCAGCAAGATTTGACCAAAAGAAAAAAGAAAAACACTACCCCAAGTATCAGCTTTCTGGTAGCCTGTGGTGCAGGGTGGAGCTTTTGAAACTTATCTTCACCTAAGTGTGAGTAGTTGCATTACAAAGCCCTACCTGAGCTAGTTTCCTCACTAGTGCTGAACTCACTCATGAGTGTCACTGGACTTCTAGGGACATATACAGTGATTCTTTGTGCTGCAGTACATTGAATTTCTCTATTATTATTTCCAAGTGATTTGTTGGAGAACTTGTCTCTTTTGGGCTCCTGGTAACTGGAAAAGCAACGAAGGACTATCAGCCCTTGAGAAATTTAGTTTACATCTTCACTGCAAAGTGTATGGGTTATTATGTAAAGTTAATGAGGAAGCTGGGCTTTAACCCCCCCCCCCCCCCCTCCACAGAACTGCCAGCTAGTCCAGACTGAAAGCTCTTGAATAAAAGTCTGGGGTAACTTTGCATTCAAGACATACCTTTAGCTGCCTGCTCCATTAAAGAAGCAGAGATCGTTTTCTTTTTTGACCATACTGGGGACTGGCTCTCCCAGTAAGCAGAATGGCACTAGTGATTGGGCCCCAGGTATCCCGTGTATACAAATCAGTCCTTGCTGCAGAATTTGTGCTGCAGTATCCTTTTGAAAACATTGGGCATGATTCTCAGATGGTGTGAATTAGCATATCGCTATCTTTTCATTTCATGAGAATCTGGCTCATTGTTTCTACACCTTCAAGTGGAAGAGGACCAAAAAGCATGGCCTGAATGTAACTGATGTAGCAATGCCAGTCTGTGGCTGTGGGTGGTCCGAAACAACAACTCAGAGGAGTGGGACTGCTCCCCTTCACTGGGCCGCTGATTGAAACCTGTAGCGGCAATTAATGATCAGCATTTTTAACTTTTCACTGCTGATCATTTTAGCAGAAACACCTGGTTAAAATGCTTGTCCCACAATCCTAAACTGATCCTCTCCCTACACCATCCTAGTATCATAGTGTTGGGCAACCTGTGGCCCATGGGCCACCCGCTGGGTTCTGTGTGGCCCACAAAACATTTTGTTTACTATTACCCATGCACAGGGTTGCCAGATTCTGCTGGTTTTCATCTGCATAGTTTTTTTTCCTACTGGTATTACAAAAGTGACATGTACTCAAAGCAAGAGCACGTGAAGTGAGATGTGTGTTGACTGCACATAACATCGTGAGAGCCATGTGCTCCCTCAGTATACAGACAAATGGTTCAGTAGGCACGACACGCAAATTCTGGGTATGCAAGCGCAGCTAGCAAAACCACCCTATCCCAGGAGACTGTCTTGGTTACCACAATCTGGAGGCCCACTGAGATGAAGAGGGGCCACTCAAGCAGCCCACTCACTAGCCTAGGTTGCCCCTCATTGTAGCACATCTACCCAGATGCCAAAATTATCAGTTTTCTCCCACTCTTAATTTCTGTCATGCAATTATGTTGGCTTATGGAAAATGTTGACATTGTAAAAGACATAGAATGTAATGACAAAATAAATAACAGGATGGTGAGTGTATCCATTTATATACATGGACCCATTGCTGTTGGATGTAGTGCCTCTAAAAATAAGGAATTAGTAGCAGTTGTGGTATTTGAGCAATTTTAACTGTTACAAAATGTAGTGTTTTTATGTTGGCATGTATTGCATTACTACACAATTATGGATATAAACAATGATACAGACACCAAACTAAACTTACCATTGAATTTGTACTTAATTTCTCTTAAAAAAATAACCCATTTAAACATGATATTAAGCCATTTCACTGCAAAGTTTAGCATACTAGCTAAGGCACATTGTGTATTGTTTAAGGGTTTTTTACAGTGGCTATAAATTCTTAATTCAAAACCCACTGCAGTCAATAGAGTCTGCATCTGCAAAAGGCACACAGAAGCATAAGCCCCAGTTTAGGATCCTAAGTCCTGTTTTTAGGATCCATAGTGGTTCTCAAAACTCCGCTTGGCTGCTGCCTAATCCTATAAACACCTGTTCCCTAGTTAACCTATGTTTCTGCCTCTGAGCATGTGCAGTGCTGCCTCATTCTAAGCCCCTGATGCCTAAGCTCCAAAGAGGTCCATGAACCAGGGGAAAATAGATACAGCCATCCACTCTTATGCTTAGCATCTGCAGTAAAGTGAACAGAAACACTAAAGAGGCCGGGAGAATGTGGGCATCAAGGTCTGTGCAATGTTATATTATATAAGCTTTATCCTCCCCCACAGGTCCGAGAAATCAGCCTATCACCTTTGCCACAGTTCCTACGATCATCACATCTTTGCTAATTCCTTTGCTAACATCCTCCCACAGGTATTCATTAGAACAATATCTTTCTTTAGAGCATAGCTAAGTCTCAGCTCTCCAAAATCCAGCACACGTGGAAGTTTGGTGCCTGCCTGCGTGCATGAACCAAGATGCCTAGCCACATTATACCACTAGCTTAGACTCATCTCTTCGAAGACACAAAGAAACCTAAGCAAACCACTGTGATGTGTGAGAGAAATGCTTGCTTAGAACCAAATAATGTCAATGGATCTGCATTCAGTTCAAGATTGATTTTAAAGCTCCTTGCCTTGGTTTTATAACTCTCCAGCTTTCTCTCTTTTACCCTCCTGATGTGCATAGCACCAGGCTCCTTTCTGTTTTTACACATAGTCTGGCTCTTGATTGTGCAAGAAATGTCCCTTCTCCAGGACAAGAAATGTCCCTTCTGAAACAAGCTTCCCGTATCTGTCCACCTCGTTAACTTGCCTTCTATTTTAAAATCACTTTTGCAATCATTGAAGTGTACAACAGAAAGAGACTTTGAGAGGTCATCGGTCCAGTTCTCTGCACTGAGGCAGAACTAAACAAAGGGTCTCAAACTCATGGCCTGCAGGCCATTAAAGGACTGGAGCATATTCACAGTGTGGCCCAAATGTTGCTGCTGTCCTGCACCAGGCTCTAGCCTGGGTAATCCTTGAGACTGCGTTCCTTGGGGGATGGGGTGCAATGGAGGAGAGCGCATGGTGGTAGCAGGAAGGGGCAAGGCTTGGGGGATGGGTGCCAGTATGCCCCTCCTGGGCTCCTGGGTCTTCTGGGCTGGATTGTGAATATGCTCTGGCCTGTAAATGGCCCATAGTCCGGGAGTATGAGACCTCTGATCTAGACCATGCCTGACAGGTGTTTCTCTAACTTTGTTCTTAAAAAACACCAATCAAGGGGATTCCACAGCCTCCCTAGGTAATTTGTTCCAATACTTAATTACCCTTTATGGTTAGGAAGTGTTGTCTAATGTCTCACCTAAAGCTCCCTTGCTCCAATTTAGGCCCATTGCATCTTGTCCCATCCTCAGTTGTAGGGAGAACAATTTATCACCCTCCTTTTTACAACCATCTTTTATATACTTTAAGGCTACGTCTAGACTGGCATGATTTTCCGCAAATACTTTTAACGGAAAAGTTTGCCCTTGAAACTCTCCATTGTCACCCCACTTTCCAAGTCTTCACTTTCAAAATGAAACTCAAAATGGTTCAGTGAATATCCTATTAGTGAAAGATTCCGATCATAATTTACCATTGTAAATATAGATCTGTCTTTTCTGGGTTGATTTCTGATTTACTGCAGGGCACCTGACAGCAGTCTCTGTGCCTCCATCTCCAGTCTGATGAAAGAGATCTGCAATGGCAGTAGAATCTTGCTGCTGAGATCTCTCCAGCAAGCAATAGGAGAGAGCAATGTTGAAATCAGCTTCACGCCAGGGTCCTGTTGGGTGGATGCTGCCTTCCGGAGTGGGCTCCACTGTTCTGTAGATATGCAGCAGAGGAGGCATTTACCAGATGGGCTGAGGGTGTGAGGGGGGCTGATGAAATATTTGATTGTTGTGTCCTTTTTTGTAATCCATTAGCTGGGTTCTGCGTGGGTGAGGTGGGAGAAATGGGAACCTGGATGCCAGAATGATACTACAGTCGTGGGAGATTCCTTTTCCCTCCCTCCCTTAACTTTCTGCTGGAAATACTCAGGGTCATATTAAGGAAAGGAAGAGGCTGCCTGATTTTTCTTTGCATTATTGTATGACTCAGTTGACTACATTAACTTAATATGACTACAGAGGGTAGCTAGAGCTAAATATGAAAGAGTAGCTCCCTTTCCCATGTTGCATGATGCAAGGCTGGCACACTGTTGCAAACTCCTAGGTATTAATGACAGAAGAGACATATTAGTCCCAACTAGTCCATGCCCTTGGGCAAGCCACGCTTATGCCCTACAGGATATTATCCAACCCTCTTTCAAATGACTCAGGCAAAGGGGCTTCCACTGCTTCCCCCAGGTAGACGTTTTGCACTCAAATAGCTCTCACTGTAGGAGAGACTGAACTTTTACAAGGTGGAACTTCATGTGCCATTGAACCTTGGTAAGGAATTGTTTGAGAGTCAGACAAAGAAGTTTTCAAATGGCAGATTTGTAAGACTTTTAAACTAGGTTTCATTTGTACTCTGTATTAAATTTTATTAAGTTGTAAAGCTGCCTGTGGCAACAGGGACATCTGAGCAAAATTAGGCAATTGTATAGTACCAGAGCTATGTCTTTTGTTTACCTACATGGCTATTGATTTTGAAACATCTATAGTCATGTGACTCCAAAGTGATTCATCTAGGAGTTTTTATTTTATCCTTTCCCTCCTTTTTTTGCCTTAAACACAAGGAAACCGTTATTTATAAATAATAATACAAGCATCTAGGCTGCAGATTTAAATATGCAAAGATAAGGAGATGAAAAAGTAAAAGTTGTGATACTATGAGCATCATAATGTCACTCTAGCATTTTAGGGAAAATTTCCCACCATTGCATATGCTCTGAAGAGCCTACATTGGTGCTAGTATACATAGGCTTCGGGGCTTCATACCATTATCATTCAACTCAGCTCTGAGCAGATTCAGTCTCACCTCCTGCTCCCTTCTCTGTCTCAAAACCATAGGTGGATCAGTGCCATATATAAGGTACCAGTCACACCCATAATTAGCATAACACCATCCTTGGGAGAGATTAACATAAGGGAGGTATGTTTTAAACTAGAAGAAGTTGTAAAGGAACA